TGCATACGTTAGGAGTTAAGTCATATTAAACCCAACCCAGAAGGAATTATTAATACAACTGATTAAATTGAGAAAGAAATAACAAAATTGTTTACTTTAAAATTGTAACCATGTATATCAAAAATGCCACAAATTGTGAAAATTGGAATCTTGCAAATAAGAAACCCTTCAATTAAAAAAAAAATAAACTAAGCTGAGTGTAGTAGCACATGGCTTTAGTTCCAGCATTGCAGATGAGGAAGCAGGTGGATTTCTGTGAATTTGAAGACAGCCTGGTCAATATAGTGAATTCCAGGACAGCCAGGGCTATGCAGAGAACCCAGATGAAGATGAAAAGGGGGAGAATTCAGTGCTACAGTAGAAGGTAAATGTCACATAAAGTGAAAAAAAGTGCTATCTCAAAAGAAATTGAAAAATGCAAATGAGACAGTTATCAGATTAATATGTTAAAAAGGAATCAAATTAATTTCAAGGTAGTATGAGAAATGCACATCTGTGTTCCGGCTCCATGAATAGTAAGACTTGGAAGACAATTTATCAATAACCAGTGAGACAGAGCATTCATAACAACACAGTGATTTGTTGTTTTTTTAACTTTCTTTTTATTTATTCTTTGTGTCTTTCCCATCATGTATCTCCATCCCATTCATTTCTCTGCCCCTTCATTTCCACCCTCGGTCCTTGCAACCTCCCCACCAAAATAAAGTAAAATTTAAGAGAAGAACAGAAAGAAAAAAAGAAGAAAAAGAGAAAAAAAGAAGGAAAAATCAATCTTGTCATGGAAGCTATAGTGTGCCATAGTAAATCATGCAGTAAAACTTTTTATCTATATATCTTTACTTGCAAGCGTTCATTGCAAAGAGTCATTGGTCTGGTTCAAGGCTTCTGGTTTCTGCCACACTATTGATGCTGGGCCCGCATTTGGGACTCCTCTTGGTCAGTCTGCTGTTGCCCTGTGTCACAGAGATCCTGCAGCTTTGGGTCTGCAGGACCCGTCCCTTCATGTGCTCTAGCAGATGACAGTTGGGGTAGAAGTTGGGGTGGGTCAATACATAACCTTGGTTCTGGGCCTGGGTAGTTAGTTGCAGGGTTGGTCAGTCAGCCAGCTCTCCCTTGTCCTCACCACCTCTCCAGAGTGCAGCACAGAGATTTGTATGGCAATATATATTATATATTTTAATGCCTTGCACCTGCAAGGGATGCTCAGTTTATTATCTTAGAATGAAAAAAATAAAAACAATATAAATAACCATAAATATAGAGGAATGATAAGATTATATTAAAAGTTTCAATTAATGTTAGGATATGTCAATATTAGAGTAGGACTCTTGATATTTTATGTCTATACATGCTGTTAACTTAGCGTGAGTTAACTGCTTAAATTCTAGTGTACTTGATTGTATCAGAGCTGAAATCCTTCCTCATGGTTCTTAAAATATTTTACTGAGAATTCACATATTAACTTGTAGATCTGAAAGAGGTAGAGATGGATATATAGTCATGTTTTTGTCAATGATGTACCTTGTTTTGTTTCAAACAGACTTGCTAATGGATGTCTGAAGCAAAATTACATTCTTTGAAGCACACAATTCAGTGACTTTCAGCAAATTTAGAGTGCACAATGATCTCCATGGTCTAACTTTGGAGCATTTCCACAGCTTTCCCAAGGAGCCTTGAGCCCATTTCTAGTTGCTTCTCCCCACCGCGCCCCGCCCTCCCCTCCCCCCCCCAGTCAACCAACACTGTCCTCAATGTCCACATAGTGCCTGCTGGGACACTGCTTAGAATGAATATATGTGTATTAACACCACCTCTATTGTGTCTGTGTCTAATGGGTGTAATGTTGCAGGTTTAGCCATGTTTTAGCATGGATCAATAGTCTGATGTTTTTACATAGCAGGATAGTATCCTATTGCATGCTAGATCACATTCTGTTGATCTATTCACTAGCTGGTAGATGTGTTTGCACTTCTTAGTCCTTATCAACAGGGCTGTTATGACTATACATATGGAAGTTGGTATGGACACAGATTTTAAACAGCATATAATTGCTGGATTCTATCTTTATTTGCTGTTTAATTCTCTTAGAAGCTGCAACTATGTCCATCTGTCTACGTGACCTTCCATTTCCATGGATAATACAAGAGGGTTTTAGTTTTCTGTATTTTTAGCAGCAACTTGGCATTGTCTGTCTTGTTTACGTTAGTTCACTTAGCAGGCATCTCATGGTTTAGATTTGCATTTCCCTAGTATCCCATGCTGTTGGGCATTATTCATTTTCTTAACCATCATTGAACATCTTTGAACACCCTCTATTCAAATTTTTTGCCTATTTTTTCATCATTTACCATCCATTTTTGGAGTTACAAAGTATCTTCATATACTACAAATATTTTCTTTCTTTTTTTTAATTTAATTTAATTTTATTTTACAATACCATTCAGTTCTACATAACAGCCACAGATTCCCTTGTTCTCCCCCTTCCTGCCCCCTCCCCTTCCCCCCAGCCCACCCCCCATACCCACCTCCTCCAGGGCAAAGCCTCCCCCGAAGACTGAGATCGAGATCGACCTGGTAGACTCTAGTCCAGGCAGGTCCAGTTCCCTCCTCCCAGATTGAGCCAAGCGTCCCTGCATAAGTCCCAGTTTTCAAACAGCTAACTCATGCAATGAGCCCAGGATCTGGTACCACTGCCTAGATGCCTCCCAAACAGATCAAGCCAATCAACTGTCTCACCTATTCAGAGGGCCTGATCCAGCTGGGGGCCCCTCAACCTTTGGTTCATAGTTCATATGTTCCCATTCGTTTGGCTATTTGTCCCTGTGCTTTATCCAACCTTGTTTTCAACAATTCTCGCTCATATAAACCCTCCTCTTTCTTGCTAATTAGACTCCCGGCGCTCCACTCGGGGCCGAGCCATGGATGTCTGCATCCAGATTCCTCAGTCCTTGGATGGGGTTTCTGGCACAACTATTAGGGTGTTTGGCCATCCCATCACCAGAGTAGGTCAGTCCCGGCTGTCTCTCGACCATTGCCAGCAGTCTTTTGTGGGGGTATCTTTGTGGATTTCTGTGGGCCTCTCTAGCACTTTGTTTCTTTCTTTTCTCGTGTGGTCTGTATGTGTCCTTTCATTTGAAAATATTGTCTCCCATTCCGTGGGTTTCATTTTAACTTCTTTATCATATTGTTTGAAGCACACAGGTTTTAAATATCAAACAAGTCCTATTCATCTGGTGTTCATGCTTTGATATTGCAGCCAAGAAATCATTGCCCAACATTGATTGTGAAAATTTCTTCTAAATCAGATGTTCTCAACCTTCTGGGGGCTGTATATAAGATATCATACATGTCATATATTTACAAAATGCTTCATAACAGAAGCAAAATTACAGTTATGAAGTAGCAACAAAATAATTTTATGGCTAGGAGTCATCACAACACGAGGAACTGTATTAAAGAGTCTCAGCATTAGCAAGGTTGAGAACCACTGTTCTAAATAGTTTTCATCCTTATCCTTGATCTCATCCACTCTGTTAATTTCTGTGCCTAGCATGACTTAGGGGCTCATTTCCACTTTTTTCATCCCAGCTGCATTTGGTAAGGAGATCTCTGACCCTGGAACTTTCCAGAGGCTACTGTACAACCAGAAGTGAGGTTTGTTTCTAGTATGTCAGTTCTATTCCATTTACCCACACATTTATCTATGTTAACAGCATTTGGCCTTGGTTAGTGTAGCATTGAGCTGTTTCAAAACTGAATAATCCCAGTCCTCCAGCGTCATTCTTTTTCTTGTGTGTGTGGAGGGGTCCTTTACATTTTCTTAAGGATTTTCTTTATTTCTTTCTTCTTTCTTTTTGGTCTGTTTTTGTTTGTTTGTTTTGTGAAAATGTTTCTTTGTGTAGCTTTGGCTATACTGAAACTTGCTCTGTAGATCAGGCTGGCCTTCAACTGAGAGATCCACCTGACTCTGCCCCCCGAGTGCTGGGATTAAAGGTGTGTACCACCACATCTGGATAATTGGCCAATTTCTTCAAAAAACAATTTTGAGGTTCAAAGGAATTGTATTTGTAGAATACATCCTCTGGTTCATAACAATAGGTAAACTTTCCATTTATTTGGGTCTTTTACAACTTCTCTTACCATGTTTTATTATTTTCAGGGCAGGACCTTGTACTTCTTTGACAAATGTATTCCAAAATATTTTACCCTAAATGGAATTATTTTAGGATTTTTTTT